ATTTTGCAGTTACTAACCGTTAAATAACCGCGTTATAACCAGCCCTATTATACACCTTCAAAACGCACTTGAGAACATCGAAAACACTTAAAATTTGACTAAGTTACGGTCAAATCTCTAAAATATCACTCAAATGTGTAGACTTTCAAGGATAATTGCATAAATATGTCAATTCTTCACCGATTTTAGCGTTCTTGGGCTCGTTTTAAAGCTAGAATATGCAGAAATAATATCTATCAAGATACATATGAGCATATTTGCCTTGTTATAACCGATTCTTTATTTTTCGGTCCTAACTGGTTAGTAACTGCAAATAACTGACCGTAACTGGTTAGTTGTGGTCCGGTTAGGTTATTTTAGGTTTTGGGACAAAGGCGAACCGGTCTCGGTCTCGGTTAGAGCCCCTGGGCACCCAATAACCGGACCTAACCAGACTTTCGAACACTAACTGAAAGCGTGAATTCACACTGCAGAATCATGTCAGGTTATTTCTGTGCAAAGGAATATCTCAAGTGTTATTGATGCACTGGAGATCCTTGAGGAGACCAATCAGAAAGTTGTAGAACTGATTCTGGATTTTGTCAACAAAATGCGGGCTCTCGGATGGAATACCCATGATTGTGCTCTTCTGTCAGGATCTCCTGTCGCCATGTTGAGAATGCAGCCGGTGAAGCCACAGAAGGAAAGAAAACATGATAGCATTGGTTGTAGGTGATCATATTTGCTTTTTCTTGATCGTTGAACCCTCAGTCTTTTTTTTTCGAGGAGGGTGTTGAATTTCTGGTGCTTGGTTTTGGAACATCTGCAGACTTGTCGCTCAGTTACTTTGAACCCTCTACTTTCAATGTGCACCTAGCTTCTACTTTGAAATCAGTCACGAATTAAGAGAAGGATTGGACACTAAAGTCGTGCCTAAAACGAGGGTTAACTTATTTTAGGCGCTCCCCATAGCTCCACACCACTATGGTACGTGAGTCCCATTCATCAAACGGCAATCGTTGGTTCAGTTGTTCAGAAGGACTATGTAAGAAATATGATTTACATCATCTCGTTTTCCACTCAAATCACTGGTAGGAAACATAAGCACATAGTTTAAAAAACCAGCGGCGCTGACATGCTTATTTTTTTTTTTACCCATCAGCTTATTTTGCCTTGACAGAAGTTTCGATCCTTGACAAAACCTACGATCCGGATCGCCACATGTTTTATTTCCCGCGATTCCAATCGTGGTCTTCCATGCTGAAATCCGAGGTTCCTCAATGTCAGAGTTCTCCCCTGTTACTCAGAAATTCATCCGCTCCTAAATGCTTCATCGCATTTGGCGAGATATCTAAAATCCACTGACTTGCTCTGTTGGATCCAGGATTGCGGTTGCTCGTAAGGCTTCTCTCTTATTCGGGCCTACGATCTTGATGTCGAGGCGAACCACATACGACGCGAGGCGCGGCGACTCCGTGAAGGGCATCTCGTAGAGTCGGGGGATGGGGTCGAAGCGCGATTCTGCCCAGTGTGCGAGGGCTTTTGACATACAGGCTGCAGGCGACGACATCCGAGGGCACAAGCGCCAAGTGCTTCGTGATCGTCCCAAAGATGTTCAAAAATGTCGGTTAGTAGCTCTGTTGGGAGGTGAAGCAAGGACATTCCTCGACTTTGAGAGAGGAAATAGAATGAAACTGGCAAACTTGAAAACTGCAATTTGAAGAGTCGGAGTATCAACGCCAAGACAACAGAAAATTCAGTCGGGAACCGCCATCAAAATGCCATCCCGGACCCGTCTTCCGCAATAGCGACATTTCGACTCATCCCTGCATGTCACTTCCGCTCTTTTTAAAGGTGCATCGCCAGCTTCCTATCTCCAAAAACATTTTCCGTTGCATCTCCCCCTCACAAATGTCATCCAGCACCCCAACACCGCATTCAAACACCACCACCAACACCAAACCCTCCTCTCAAAAACCTTCGAACAAAAACTCCTCCAAAAATCAATCGAAAATGGGGAAGAAGTCAAACACACCCGGAGAAGAACACCTCCTCCTGCCCATGCCTCCGTCTTCTTTAGGCATCGTCGACACGCACACACATCTCGCGAGTACCTATTCTTTCTACCGTCAAAGGTATAAAGAGGGGAAATACGAGAACGTGTTCGATTTCATCAAGGCGATGTACGAAGGCCGGAATGTGGAGGCTATCGTGGACGTGTGGTGTGATGCGCCTGTACAGAAATCGTGGAAGACGTTTGCGGATTCGGCGCTGACGCCTGAAGATCGACAGTCTCGTTGGGGAGGGATAGAATATTGGTTTGCTTTGGGTGAGTTCGCTGCGTTTTACGCTTGTTGTGATGCTGATGCTGTATGTTCAAGGCGTTCATCCGTCAGTCGTATCTCCCTATCAATTCTGACGTAGAAGCTAACTTTTGAAGCCAGTCATGATGCCAAACACTACACCGACGCCGTAGAAAAGGATATGTATGTACCCTACCCATCTTAGTAGCTCCTCCATTCCTGACTTCCTCCCCTCGCAGATTAGAAGCAATGACTCACCCTCGATGCGTTGCCCTCGGTGAAATAGGGCTCGACTATCACTACGACAACTCACCCCGCGATGTGCAACGAAACGTATTCAGACGGCAGCTGAAACACGCCGTTAGGCTAGGGAAGCCGCTGGTTATACATACCCGGGAAGCTGAGGAAGATACGGAGAAAATATTGAAGGAGGTGCCAAAAGATTACAAAGTTCGTTACCTTCCTTCTCCCATCTTTATGCCTTGCTTACAAAACACGCAGATCCACGTCCACTGCTTCTCTGACTCCCCGGAATTTGCGGCCCGTCTCCTCGCCCACTTTCCGAATCTCTACATCGGTATAACAGGTAATGTGCTCCTTCTTCACCTCTCCCTCCTCCTGTTAACCCCTCGTCGTCGTTCACAGGCGTAATAACATACAGCTCAAACACCAACACCTCCGCCGTCATCTCCCAAATGTCCTCCGCCTCCTCCTCTGAGCCCCTTCGAATTCTCCTAGAAACAGATGCACCCTTTATGACGCCCGGCAACCTCTATGCCTCCCTCCCGGCTTCCTTGAAAGGGAAGAAATTGCCGTTATCCCATACCGCAATGATACCGTGGACGGCGGAGTTTGTGGCGGGTGTTGCGGGGGAGGGATGGGATGTTGACAAAGTTATGAGGGAGGGGCGGGATAATGCACGGAAAATGTATGGGGTTTAGACGCATATATGCATATACCTGAGTCTGAGATTCGCCGTGGGATATCAATAATGGAGGATTGTTATACGTCTTTTACCCCATTGCATCAGATAGAGAGAAGACCAAATTCAAGCGGGTTACTTGGATTATCAACTTTCGGGATGAACATGACGGTATTGCGAATCAGAGGCCCTACATATTGTATCAACGTAAGAATGCGATCGGTAAGTGGGATCTTCTGATGGATGTCCTGGGACATGATAAATGGCATAATGGCATACCAACACGACGGGGCACGGTAAGGACAACTTCCAAATGGTAGAAACATGGAGGGTCTTGAGCTGAGGAAAGGACAAAGGGGGCGTATTGTTCATGATGAGGGTGGGACTTGGGTGTTGGGAGCGAGTATTCTGTTGGTATTCCGTGGCTCTGTTTTCGTTCATCAGATTCACGAAACACGAAGAGAAAGGGGGAAAAAAAGACGCTTACGAGCTCTGACTCTGCCCAGGCATATACAATCCATTCCCTCCCCCCCTCCTCCTCCATTAGAAGAACTCAAGGGACTACTCGCATGCGCCATCCTACTCAAACTATGACACCAAAAGGAGGCGGGGAACTGCCAGATTTTACTATCATTCCTCCTGGACCCACATCGCCTGCGCCATTTGCGGTGGACGAAGTTGGGGGAGGGGCGGAGCTAGAGGAGGGAGGACGTGATCTGGACCGGGAGCGGGAAGCTGGTGAGCGCGTGGGTGGGGTGGAACGATTATGGTGGTGGATTCGTGGTGGAAGTGGGAGGGAGTTGAGGGGAGGAGAAGGGGGTCGTAGTGCATCGTAATGTTTATCGCCGTGGTGGTAGAGTTGAATGGAGGGTGCTGTTGGTGAGTGTCGTGTAAACTACTTGGCTGACTGGCTGGTGGTGAAAAGACTGTTGGAAATGCTGAAGAACCGGTAGACGATGCGCTGGAGGCAGATACGTCGAATATGTTATGCGTGCGGTACGCCGTCGTGGGGTTTTCTTACGCCGTTGGGTCCTCATACTGCTGTCGCTGGTGCTACTGCTGGTGAGGATGGCGATTGCCATGGCCATTAGGCGACAATTGGTCACCACAACTCATCATTAAATTCCGCATTGGCAGCAGCAGGCACATTCACGGACAAAAGGAACTTGCGAGAGGGATCGCGAAGGTCGAACCCATGATGCTGTTGATGCTGATGCGCGCTGGACAAACTTGAATGGGGGAAATACAGAGTTGAACTGTAAAAGCAGCGCCCAATGCCCATCGACATGACAACATATATGGCCTATAGGTACCTTCAACGCCAGCGGATTTCATTCTCTAGTCGTGAGCCCTGTTGATGCCATACAAAACATCAGGCTAGAAAGTCGAGCAAATCCAACGAAGAGGATAAGTCGCCGAGGAATGAGAAAGACGAAAGATTTAAGGAAGGGAGGACGAGTTGGAAAAGGCCAGGCACGTGCTTGCGTGGTTGGATATAAAAATAGACCAACTCGTCCGGGGGCCGTCCAAAGCGGTCGCCCCAAGGTGGCGCTAACGATTCGAGGGGCTGGCGCTGTGGTGCCCGTGCTGGGATCTCGGCCATAGTACGCAGCCGTGGTCAGATAAAAGGTACGCTTGTTTTCTGAATAACCCCCAAAATCAGCACTCCCACTGAACAATGCACTTCCTCCTCTCAGCTTGGGCGTTTGCCCAGTCTTTATTCGACCTCACGGCGCTCACTGGCATCTCCAACTATGACTCCAGCATGTCACTCACTTCCACCAGGCATGCACATGGCCTGAGACAATCGAGAGCGCGTGCAGCTGCCTCCGATGTCGCCATGCGCGCTTTCAAAGCCGAAGCCCTCGCAAGCAATGCGAGCTTCCTGCAGAGGCTCGACCCCGACGGCTGTCTCCACGTCTCCCACAATTTCCTCAACTATCAGACCTACCCTGGTTATGACAACTCAATCGGGATCAGCGGGCCTGGGCCAAATGGGTACAGGATGTTCAGTTCGACATCCGATATTAACGACCCCAACACCGAAAGTCGGCTTCGCTATGATTTCGTTTTCAACGACGGTAGCGCTCCCTACACGTCCGTTTCATTCCCCATCCTCTAAATATCAAACTTGAGCGAACGAATAACGTAGGAGCATCTGGATTACCATGCGCGGAGCCCCAGACAGCGGTAAAAACTCCAATGTCGTCCTCCGCGAAGAGCTCTGCGTCGTCGGTCCCCTCGACCCCAACGGCAGCCACTACCACGACTGCGATGAGATCGACATCGCCGAGATCTACGGTGGCGGGAACAACCAAGCCGAGTTCACATTCTACACCGGCTCTGGCTCGTACATCCCAGGCAAGCAACCCCAGCGCCAGGGCGGCGGGGTGTACACCGACACCACCAACGGCGGGGCTGGGCAACAGTTTTACGAGTACCAGTTGTATTTGGAACAGGGGAAGTATCTCACGTTCACTATTGCGGATGTGAAGATTGGCCAGACGATTGGGAAGCGGGATTATGGGCCTCCGGGTATCCCAGCGAAGCCGTTGAACTTTTTCATGGGCGAGTACAATTGTGCAGCAAGCGGGCCCGATGCTAAGAATTATTGTGGGGGGCCTTACAATGGTAATTCATTCATGGAGATCGGAAGCATCTTATATCGTACCTGCGACTGATAGTAGTCATTAAAAAGTTGTATACATAGTTCGAGGAATGAACCAACATCAGGATCGAGACCAACATGCCACACCCTCACAAACTTCACCCCGTTTTCCTGCACGCCTGAATACGTCGCCGAGAAGTCGATTGTTGTGCAATTTCTATCGACCAAAATATGTGTGGAGGCCCCAGGTCGCGTGTTGCCGGGCTCAAAACCACGATGTATGCGGCGGTATTGGCTTTGGATGAAGAATGGAGCTCCACATACACTGTCCCGAACCTTGGCAAGTTGGAGGTTCAGGTTGCAGCGCTAGCACCTGATTACATCGAGCTCTACGAACCTCCACACACTCCCCTCCTCTTGAAATATATCGCGCAAAGGCTCTCTGGTCGTCGAGTCGGAGTACCGCGGCTAACGTCTCTACCTCCACCCAGGATCGTCACTCCATCCCACAGCAGACACCTGCCATAGCACTAGGCTCATCCAACGTATGCCTATTTGTCCCTTCTCCTCTTAATCGCCCTTCCTTTGCACAATCTTTGGAGCAGTGTTAACGATCGAGCACCAAGTCAACGTGTGCGAATTCAACGTGGTCCTCCCCATCTCTCAGAGCTATACACTCCGGAATCAACGTCGCAAGTTCCCTAATCATCTCCTTGATATTATCCCTCCGTCGTCTCTCAACAGCATTATGGCTATCCCTCTCCGTCGTTTCTCGTTGGCCAGTAGAGCTTGTTTATCGCCTACAGGTTGTTGTCCTTGTTTTTGTGGTGCTTGTTGACCCCTTGTCCTCCGTGTGCAGCAGAAGGAGGAGAAACATGGTGGGAGCTCGACTTAATTTTGAGAGGGTAAAGGATCATAGGGAGGGAGCGCCATCAAATTGACAGCTTGCGTGTCTAACCCTGTCGGCAACGAGTGCGAATGTGCGTGGTGGGAATGCGAAAGGGGGTGGGGTGTGTGGTGCAGTGGCGGGAGGTGGTGGTGCATGTCTTGAGATGAGGAAAGTACAAAGGGGGTGTATTGTTGATGGTGGTCGGGTGTGGGGAGTGAGTATTCCGAGGCTCTGTTTTCGTTGTTCATCAGCTTCACGAAAACACGAAACACGCGAGAAAAGGAGACATACGAGCTCTGACTCTGCCCAGGCACATACCACCCATTCCCTCCCCCTCCCCCTCCTCCTCCGTTGGAAGAAGTGCTCAAGGGACTACCCGCGCCATCCCACTAGTCTAGCCATCCTGCTCCCCGGGATCACAATGGCATGCGGCCTCCCATGTCCATGGTGAACACCAAAAGGAGGCGGGGAAGTGCCTGAAATGTTATTATTCCTCCTGGCCCTAGTCGTCCTCTCGGGCCCCACACCGCCTGCCCCATTTGCGGCGGATGACGGTGGGAGAGGAGCGGAGCTAGAGGAGGGGGGACGTGATCTGGGGCGGGAGCGGGATGCTGGTGAGCGTGTGTCGTGTTAGATGGGCGTGGGCGGGGTGGAACGATGATGCTGGTAGGTTCGTGGTGGACGGGGGAGGGAGTTGAGGGGAGGAAGGAGAAGGAGGGTCGTAGCGCATCCCACTGTTTATCGCTGGGAGGGTAGAGTCGAATGGGTGTTGTTGATAAGCGTCGTGTACGCTACTTAGCTGACTCCCTTTGTTGGTGGTGGTGGAGGAAGAGAAAAAGTTTGTTGGAAATGCTGAGGAAGCGGTAGACGATGCGCTGAAAACAGATAGGTCGAATATGTTATGCGTGCGGTACGCCGTGGTGGGGTTTTCATACGCCGTTGCGTTGCTGCTGCTGGTGGTGGTGGTGAGTGTGATGGGGGTCATTAGGCGTCGATCGATCACCGGGTCCACCCAAGCGCTTAACCGTGAGCAACTCGTCGTTAAACTCCACATTCGCAGCAGCAACCACATTCACGGACGAAGGGAGCTTGCAAAGTACCAACATGCTAGAAAGTCGAGCCAGTCCACAGAATCAGGTAAGCGGCCGAAGAACGAAGGAAAGGAGAATCTTGAGCCAAGGCACGTGCTTGTGTATCCATAATACATATATACAAATAGACCAACTCGTGGCATGATTGGGGGTCTTTTTGGCGTCTGGGCGCTCCTCTTTCTTCCTTTCCCTCTCTCATCCGAAACCTTTCCATCGTCGATATCTCAACATGAGCCGAGCGAACGTTCTTGCGGGTGCTCACCACTTTGTTGCTAACAACAGCACATTCAATAATGCTAACACTGTGAGTAGAATGGTTATCGTGTTAATGCACCAGTGAACGAAGCTGAGAGTACGGATCTCTGGCAGATGCACATCCACAACATCCACAACGGCAATAGGACCACGTCCGATGGGGTCATCCCCCTCATGCCAAACCCAAGCAATCGGTTCACAGGACGGACAGAAGTTATCACCAAACTCAAGAGGCATTTTTTTACCAACGCAAATGGCAGAGCTAAGAAGAGAAAGTTCTTCCTGTTGCATGGAATGGGGGGGATTGGAAAGACTCAAATTTGCTTGAAGTTTGTTGAGGAGATGTCTGACCAGTGAGTATCTACTGAATACCATTCCAATGCCTTTTAATTCAATTTCAATTACCTTCAGCTTTTCTCTTGTTTTTTGGATTGATGCATCCTCAGTTAGCACCATCACACAGGCACTGAAGGGCATCTGTAACCTTCCTGAGGCTCAGTCTTCTGCTCTGGATGGGTCACCTGAATCTGCTCTTTGCTGGATTGGCTTGCTGAAAGAGAACTATGTAATGGTGTTTGACAATGCTGATAATCTATCACCTGCTGAGCTGGAAGCTTATCTTCCACCTGGAAGGGGTGGAAATATTCTGATAACTAGTCGCAATTCTGCCATGAGGAGGCTAACTTCACCTGAGAACTCTCTTGAAATAACTGAGATGGAAGAGAATGATGCTCTTGAATTACTTCTAAAAGCTAGTTGCTTGAATTCATCTTCAATAGAGTTTCAATCTGAAGCTTCTAAGATTGTGAAAGAGCTCTTCTGTCTTCCTCTTGCAATTGATCAGGCTGGTGCTTACATTGCTTCTGGAGCAACCACTATCAGAGACTATCTTGCAAAATATTCAGAGCACCGGAAGACACTATTATTTCATTCAGATTTTACTGGAGCTTCTAAGTATAACAAAACTGTTTATGAAACTTGGGAGTTATCATACAAAGAAATTCAGAGAAGGGCTAAATTTGATGATTCTCGTAAGGCCAAAGCAGCCAATAGTGCAATGCTCCTTCTGGAATTATTCCCTTTCTTCCATCATGAGGGGATTACTGAAGACATCTTTTTTTATGCTGCCCTTCAAAAAAAAAAGAAAATTCTTGCCTCAAAGTTACCTCTTGCCAGCTCTCTGCTGGATCGGAGACTACTTCCTCTCAATAAATCAGGTACTTGGGATAACTTTGTCTTTAAAGAGGGACTTCGAATATTACTGTCATTCTCCTTGATCAAAAAAGGCCCATCTGATGGTGTGTATGCAATGCATCCACTGGTCCATTCCTGGGGCAGAGACAGAATGCTTCCAAATGAGAAGAAACAATGTTGCTTAATGGCATATGTGACTTTGTCTTGTTCACTAAGATGGGGTAAAGACCAGCCATATAGATTTCAGAGGGTCTTGGTAACACATATAAGAGTGAATATGGAGCATGCCACATCAGAAAGTAACAAGAATGGTGTCACTTACTTAGATGATGCTTATGCCAAGTGTGGGAGATTGTTGATGGAACAAGGATTTGCAAGAGAAGCAGAAAAGTTAGAGATTGAAGTTCTGGATACAAGGAACAGGATTCTTGGAGTGGAACACCCAGATACAATCACTGCCATGTCAAATCTAGCAGCCACATATGGAAACCTGGGAAAATACACAGAGGCAGAGAAGCTGGAGATCCAAGTTCTGGATGCAAGGAACAGAATTCTTGGAGTGGAACACCCAGATACAATCAATGCCATGGCAAATCTAGCAGCCACATATCGATACCTGGGAAACTACACAGAGGCAGAGAAGCTGGGAATCCAAGTTCTGGATGCAGCGAACAGGATTCTTGGTGTGGAACACCTAAATACAATCAGGGCCATGGCAAGTCTAGCAGCCACATATCAAAAGCTGGGAAAATACACAAAAGCAGAGAAGCTGCAGATCCAAGTTCTGGATGCAAGTACCAGAATTCTTGGAGTGGAACACCCAGATACAATCAGTGACATGGCAAATCTAGCATCCACATATCGACACCTGGGAAAATACACAGAGGCAGAGAAGCTGGAGATCCAAGTTCTGGATGCAAGCCACCAGAATTCTTGGAGTGGAACACCCAGATACAATCAGTGACATGGCAAATCTAGCATCCACATATCGATACCTGGGAAAATACACAGAGGCAGAGAAGCTGGGAATCCAAGTTCTGGATGCAGCGAACAGGATTCTTGGTGTGGAACACCTAAATACAATCAGGGCCATGGCAAGTCTAGCAGCCACATATCAAAAGCTGGGAAAATACACAAAAGCAGAGAAGCTGCAGATCCAAGTTCTGGATGCAAGTACCAGAATTCTTGGAGTGGAACACCCAGATACAATCAGTGACATGGCAAATCTAGCATCCACATATCGACACCTGGGAAAATACACAGAGGCAGAGAAGCTGGAGATCCAAGTTCTGGATGCAGCCACCAGAATTCTTGGAGTGGAACACCCAGATACAATCAGTGACATGGCAAGTCTAGCATCCACATATCGACACCTGGGAAAATACACAGAGGCAGAGAAGCTGGGAATCCAAGTTCTGGATGCAGCGAACAGAATCCTTGGAGTGGAACACCTAAATACAATCACGGCCATGGCACAGTCTAGCAGCCACATATCAAAAGCTGGGAAAATACACAAAAGCAGAGAAGCTGCAGATCCAAGTTCTGGATGCAAGTACCAGAATTCTTGGAGTGGGACACCCAGATACAATCAATGCCATGGCACATCTGCAGAAACAGATCAATACCTGGGAAAATATGCAGAGGCAGAGAAGCTGGAGATCCAAGTTCTGGATGCAAGGAACAGAATCCTTGGAGTGGAACACCCAGATACAATCAGTGGCATGGCAAGTCTAGCATCCACATATCAATACCTGGGAAAATACACAGAGGCGGAGAAGCTGCAGATCCAAGTTCTGGATGCAAGGACCAGAATTCTTCGAGTGGAACACCCAGATACAATCAATGGCATGGACAATGTAGCCTTAACATGTTATAGACAGGAAAGATATACAGAGGCAGAGAACCTGCAGATTCAAGTTCTGGATGCAACCACCAGAATTCTTGGAGTGGAACACCAAGATACAATCAATGCCATGGCACATCTTGCAGCCACATATCGACATCTAGGAAAATACACAGAAGCAAAGAAACTGGATATCCAAGCTCAGAAAATAAAGAATAAAGTTCCTGGAGCAGAATCTCCCCTTATGAATTCTAGGGAAAAAGGTATGAAATGAGCTTCATTTTTTCATTTTCACTGACACTCATATTTATATGATTAGTGCATTCTCTGACCAATCTTGCCAAGAGGATTTAAAAATTCAAGTCTGGGATGATGCATTCATTTCATAGTAAGAAACATCTCAATGATGGCTTTGCAGGAACTAGTACTTAATTCTTCTTCCCCAATGCTTCCATACTTTTCACCTATATTCATTTTCACTGAAATTCTGGCTTCTACTCATATCTTGATATTCTGTTTAGTATGTTGAATAAATTTCTCTTTATATGACTGTTTTAATTGATGATTGACTGTGTATGAGTCTATCAGAAGCATCTCATGATTCACCATCCCATACTCCATGTCTGTGCTTGCCTTCAAGCCCCTCTTCAACTCTTCTGTTGAGCTGTCCATTATCCTCCAATGCATCCACTAAGCTACCAATGTGCATCAAGGCCTCTTCAAGTTACCTTAGTTTTGTTGAATTGCAGATACAAACCTACATAACTTCTGTTTGCAACAGCAGTGCCAATAGCAGATACAGTTATGTTGAAGTGTGCAATCAAAGTACCTTCATGAGATGTAGGAAATCTGAATTTTAAATTTTGGCAAGAACTTCAGCCACCTCAGGCATGTTAAAAAAACTTGATCCATATTTTTTTTCTTAAAAACACCTTACTTTTCCTTTACTTGCCATCAATGCAATTATGTCAGAAACATCCTCCAATTTAGTGTGTTAAAGCCTGTGTGTTGTGGAATTCACTATGATCATGCTTGTGCCAATCTTGAGTTCAAGGCCAATAACTGTCATGAATCATTCCACACCCATGCCCTCAAGACATCCCCAAGACGGACCCCTCACCATGATACCTTGTTTCTCCATCTCTACTTTCTATTATCTCATTATCTTGTTATTCCTTGTTCCCATACCAGGGACCTATTAACTGACAAGTCTTTAGCTTCAGTCTTCTCAGTTGAAAATTTGACTTCCTACCATGCTCAGCTTCTTCCATAACAGTGTCTTTGTCATGTGTGATGCTCCCACTGCTGCTCTTGCTGGAAGACTTGCTGACAGAAGAACTAAATGCAGAATGAATGGTGTATGAGGCAGAATTGGCATGATCTATCTTTTCATGAGTAATTAAAAATATTGAGAAAAATGACTGCATACCCTCAGGTCCTCCAATAAGATGGCAGTTTGGCATTTTGAGGTTTGAAATATTCTGAGAGAGTGCATCCCAATTCCAACCTAAGTAAATGTCCAAATGGGCTGATTGGGTGTGCACCATGTGAATCCACTGCACAGCTTGTCATCCCATGTTCTGAAAATTGGTGAACCACACTTGAATGTTCTCTCCCAGCATGTGCCCATAGAGTGGGTTCATACAGTCAGGGTCTAACACCAATAAAACTG